ACTTAACCAGTCGTAATCGTTACATTCACACTCTTCTACAAAGTCGGGCTGAAGCGACACGTCACCAAACCGTTGCATGAAGTAGTTAAAACGAGATTGCTTATTTCCTCCTGCGTAATAAAAGTAGCGAAAAGACTTGGCACCAGTCTGCCCGAAAAGCTTATCCTTCAGAATCCGTGCATATTCTTGCCCAGGGGTTGTAACCGGTTGGTTCATTTATACTGCAACGAAAGGCTATCTCTTTAAGTGCTTTTCATTTTAGTACAAAAAAGAAAACATAATCATACTTTTTTGGCAGCCGCTCTAGCCGCCCGACGTTCTTCTCGGAGTCTTGCTGATCTTTCCTTAGCTCTTAGTCGCTTCTTCTCCCGATATTCTGGGTCAATTTTATACCTTTCGTTGCTTCGTTGATTGATCTGGTCACGTTCCTCTTTGCTCAGCTTATGAAACCGCTCGCGAGCAGCTGTACGAACTTTGTCTGCATATTCAGTATCTTCTTTGTACCGAGTTGAAAGTTTCACCGAGGGTTCTGGTGCATTTTCGACAGCCATTTTGATGTGTTCCGCAATCTGTGTCAAAGCAAACGCCTTGATGGTCGCAGTCAATGCTTCGATATCCATTCTTACTAATAATATAAGGTAATATTCCTTTAAGTAGTTTTACTTTTGTGCAAAACTAAATTTCTTGATTTGCATTCGAGGCAGTTGCCGCGGCTTTGTTACGATGATAGCGTTCCTTTTGATAAACTCTTACCTTTTCAGCATGCTCAGGATCATTATGATACTTTTCCCTAGCTTTTATACGCTGCTTATCAAGCAGCACCTTCTTTTTCTCGGTGGAAGACTGTGATACCATAGCCTTTGACAGAATGAATGCAACTTTTTCAATTCTGTGGGATTCGTTGGGACGCTAATCTCCATTTTCATTCTATTGAGAAAATAATGCGGAATATACAACCCGAATTTATATATCCTCCTTGTAGTAAAGAACGAAACCATGCCACGAACTAGAGGGAGCAAGAATGCAGGCAAGACAATAGACATAGATACCGAGCCAGCTGCACAGTCTGTTGCGGCGGCGGCAACCAGAAGCACGAGAAGCAAACCTGCAGCCCCTGAACCAGCCCCTGCACCTGCTCCACCCCCACCTGCTGCAAAGCCAAAGCCAACCAGACGTGCTGCTAAAGGTACGGGTAAAGAAAAGGTCGTTACGGTTGAACAGACAAGTGAACAGATTGAGAGAAACCAGAACCTTGCACCAGATACAAAACAAGACTACGTTAGAAAGTTGGAGTTCATCGCTAAGTCATTGCGGGAAACAGATCTGCAGAAAATGATTAAGAAACCAGACAAAGTGATTGGGTACATTCGAGATAGGTATACGAATCTGAATTCACGTAGAGCTTATAGCACTGCATGCGTTTCAATCATCAAGCATACAACATTACAAGTAACAGATGGTGTGCAACAGAAATACTTCGACTTTATGATGCAGACGAATCACACGGAAAGACATTGTAGAACTCGAGAAGCGATTGCGAAAAGAACAATTTGCATCCAATGCACATCTATTGGTGGCTCTCAATGTACTAATTCCACCAAGGCGCTTATCCGATTATGCCAAGATGGAGGTGTTCAAAAATAAGTCCGATTTCGATAAGTCTAAACAACCTAACAAGATGTGGCTGGATACTCGAAACAAGTGTGCTCATATGAGTATCTCAGATTACAAAACCGCTAAGGCCTATGGAACCTACGATGCAAAGCTTACGGGAGTCTTGTATGAAGTGATTAAAACCAACCTAGCTGAGCACAAACGGCGTTTTGTGTTTGAGAATACTAATCGTGACCCGTATACTAGTGGTACGTTCTCCAAGTACGTCACGGATACCTTCAAGAAGGTGTTGGGCGTTTCTGTAGGGCAGAACAATCTCAGGCACCTGAAAATAACAAATGCATTGGCTCAGAATCCTTCGGTGCGCGAACGGGAGGAATTGGCATGGCAGATGGCTTCGAGTGTTGGACTGCAAGCTTATTATAATCAGCCCGATACAGATGAAACCCGAGCTATCCGAGCTGCAGAAAAGGACGCGAAGTTAGCTGAGATAAAAAAACTTCGAGAACAGATCGACTCCAATATAAAAAAGATAAGCCAGCTTAGTCATGAGCTGGCTGAGTTGTAAGTCCTTTGTGAACGGTTTGAACGTGGCGTCGAAGATGATATTGACTGATTTCAGTCTTACAAATGGGACACGCTTTCCGAATCTTTGCTCGAATCTGATGTTGCCTTGCAAAGAGTTCCTTGTTGGCTAAGTATCTTTGCCTACTATATTCCTTGCACTTTTCGTCATGGTCTGTGCGATACTCCTTTGCATCACGACCAGCTACAACTTGATTCAATGATGGTTTCAGGAGCTTAATCCAGTACCCTTCACGCTTATGCAACTCGGCAGCAGAAGAACAGGGGAAGTCCTCAAGGAGCTCGAGATCGATTTCATTCCACTTTTCTGGAAGTGAGTTGACAAGCTTGTACAGAGGATAATGAGCACGCTCTGGAAGCCTTGAATCTTGCATATGGCGATTCTTTCTTGGAGTCAAAAGCCTTCTCCCTGTGCTCCCTATGTACATCTCCTCACCAATCACAATCTTGTAAATTTTACCCCATCTGCTGTAGTCAGCAGTCAATAATTCTCTTTTTGACTCAGCTTTCTCCTCTGCAGAGACTGTGTCTGGATTCAGATTTGGCTTCAGGCGACAAACCCAGTCCTGATACCTAGCTTCCAGTTCATCATGATTGGTGCACGGAAAGCTTTCCAACAGGATAATCTTTATGCCTTCCCACTTTTCAGGACGAGAGTTGATTGCTGAGTAAAGAGGGATGGAGTCGGGAATGCGAACAGAGTCTCTAACATGACCAGCTCTACGTGAACTTAACTTTCGCTGAGATGTGTTTCCAATATACAGTCCCTGATTTGGAACCTCAATCTTGTAGATTTCGGAAAGCTGATAATCTGGCATTGTGTGCTTTGAGATGTTTAGTTGTGTTCTCTTTAAGTGCTAACAATGTGTTGATTCCGACCTCTCAGCAAATAACCTGGTCAGAAAGAGGGAAAAAGCTCACCGATACTACACGTTGAAATCTGGTCAGCTGAATATCTGGACAGGAGTGCTGCTCCTTATTGTGAAGTTGCTGCCATTCTTCTTCAGGAGGATGATCTTCTTCTTTTTTGCGGAGTCTTGAAGCTTGACCAGGTCTTTTGGAGGTATCCAAGTGGCCATCTGAGCCACATATATGTTTTTGTTCAGCAGATACGCCAGGTCCTCCTCACCAAGAGCAGCATCCCTCAGCATACCAGCTACCTTATCAGAAGCATCTTGCAATTCTCCTTCATCCAACTTTGTGCAGTAAAAGCCAATCACAACAGAGCTCTTGCCAATCAGCACTGTATCAACCTCTCTACGTGACAGAGCCCTTAGTTCTGGTCTGCTTTCGAGTGCTATTCCCCTCTGCCTGAAGAGTCCAAGTAGAGCTTCTGCTAGCTCATCTTCATCCCCCTTGATTACATTGCTTCGTTCGCGGTGCATGATGTTGACAGTTTCTGTGAGTTTTTGGGGGCCACAAAGATAGGTTTTGCCATCCACAAAGTCATCGAAATCATCTGTGTAGAGTGCCTCGTCCGACTCTGCATCTCTCAGAAAACCAATGCCAGAATTTCTCAGAAAATCGGAGAGGGATGCCTGGTTGCGCAGCTTGACTCTTGTCCTTCTGCCGGAGTCTGGGTCTAGCACATGCACCACTTTTGAAGAACTCTTGATCTCACTCGCCGTCATGTATGTCTTGCTTGCCTGCGAAGATGGACGTCGAACAGCACCGAACAACATCGAAGGTGCCTGATGCCTCTGCCCTGAAGTCACACCGATAGCCATACCAGAACCCAAACAAGAGGATTGCTTGAGTGCCTGCATCATGCAGCACCTCTCTTCTGCCTCACTCAACTTTGTTTTTGATTTTTTTTTTTGGGTAAATACCGTCTTGCACGTGCGGCTCATCAGCTGGAACTCGCAGACTAGCGTACGCCTCTAGGGCAGACAAACGGTGGGAAAAACCCACCTACAAACACAAATCAGGTACGGTCAGTGTATCGATGCGGCGACGTTTGGTTCGATGGCCAGTTGTACCCCAATGCAACTCGGTTCGGGATCGGATACGGAAGGAGCGTCTTGGGGTAACAAGTTGAGGATGCATTGGAGGCAAGGGAGATTGCACTGGGCGCCCATCGCTCTCAGAAGATGGTTGTGGTGGGAGTGATGGGGTCAAGAGTGGGGGTGGTGAGGATCGCGTGTCGGATAGAGTAGTTGCAGCAATCGGGATTGCGCCCGGAGACTGTGTTAATGGGGCTTGCATAGGGTGTGTACGACGGTGA